GGAAAAATAATCGTCCGATTAATCGATTATCAAAATAATCGTTAGTTGCAGCCCTAGTTGGTTTTAATGGGCGAGCGCTTGTCTATCTGCAGCTTGGTGGCTGATATAATACATTTAAAAGGCAGGGATGTGATTTTTCCGGATTAATCCGGAATTCTGGATTTTCCGACCTGAAAATGTGACCTACGTGAATCATGCAGATCTGTAAAAAAAAAAAAAAAAAAAAAAAAAGAGGGGGACGGGTTTCAGCAGCCGTAGTGAAAAGGAGAGAATATGAGGACATAACCCATAACTGGCTGACATGCGTACAGAAAGTTCCTTTCAAAGTATCAACAAGGACGTATTTGCGTTCAGCCAGAGAATGTCTAATTGGTTCAGCTTGTTCACCTGCTCAATTCTGTATCTCAGTCGCTCTCGCGCTGGTATCGTTGTCAGTTGACAAGAACATCACAGTTAGGTCACCAGGGCTATTTTCCTGCTTTTTTGTCCTTAGCCAAGCACATGTCTGAAAAGGGTACTTCACCTCTGGAAAGATGAATGTATATTTAAAATGGGGAATTTATGTAAAAGAAATATGAACTTATTTTTGAATTTCTAGACTGAGAAAAGCCAGAAAATGTATTTTTGGCTTATGTGGATGAAAGACAACAACTCCCAGAATGCACTTGATTCGCTGCCCTAGGAGGCCATGCCTACGCATAACAGAGCGCTTAACAAGTCTAGGCTACTAGTGAGTCTCCGTGATGAGTCTGGCCAAAGATTTGTTTCGAGATCATCTATGAGCGACACCCGTGAGACGCACCGGTCTTGTGTCGCTCACCGAGGAGCGGGAATTTTCTTAGCAATGTTAAAACGCACATCAACCGATCGCTTGTTTGGCGTTCATGTAAACACTAAATTCAGATTCACCAATCGGAATGAATTCAGTTAGGTTTGAAACAAAAGGTGTGCATGTAAACAATGAAACAATGGCGACTGCAGAAAGCAAAAGCTGAATCCTGGACATCGAGGGCCAGACATGTCCGTGAAAGAGGATGGTAACCCCTACTACTCGGGTCTCTCCAACAAGAGCCTGCTTAATAGCTTCCAAAAAAGATGGCTGACACTGACATTCTGTGAGTGAGATCCACCCTCTGTGGGCGGGTTGAGAACATGCAGGTCAGCCCCATGACTGACTGTAGTCTTTAGCCTCTGGCCAAAAAAATCCTCTGATGCGAAATGAAAATTCTGAGGAGTTTTGCCAGACAAAAAATACATAAATCTCTCGTCTCAGGGGGATATGGGGGTGGAAAGCATGGTAATTTGAAAATACTAAAAAGTGTGTAGATCATTTTGGTTGTCTGCTCAGTGCTCACTCGCATTATTATTTTCAATATTTGCTGGGATCAGATTATACAGTCAAACCAAAATTTATTCAGACACCTTGCTTTCCTAACTTACATAATTTAACTATAGTGTCCTGTAGTGTTGTCAAAAAACTCGGTACTTCGGTACCAAGTCGGTACTAGGGATGCGCGGTATACCGGTATTGCAAAAATACCGGTATATAATTAATTTAAAACGGTACAATATCATAATTTTGTTAAATTCGGTATTTGATGAGCTGCTTTTCCGAAGTTCTCCACTAGGCGGCAGTGCGCTACCGAAACTGACGCAAGTCACGCGAAACTGGCAAACGAAGGAACACGGTGGAAATAAAGCTCATTTGGGTTTTTACACGCCCGAAATTATTAAATAGAGAGAGCAGTATTAGTGAAATAAGGCATTACTTTGCCTACTAAAGTAATGAGAATAGTGTAGACACAGACCTCAATGAACCACTCTGCAAACTTTGCTTTCAATAATGTGTTGCCATGGAAGGCAACACATCAAATCTGCCAAAGCGCTCGTCAGTTGCTCATCCTGACTTGTTCAAGAGATCGACTGGTGAGTTCATCATTCAACTGATTTTATTTAGACTTTTATTGAACACTGAACAGCGCACATACCAGAGCTTATCAATTAAATATGATATGGTAAACACGAAAGCTCAAATCTTCTTGCATGACACGCCATACCAATTCAGTTTACGTCTCATGATCTCAGTTTACGTCTCATGATCTCATTTTTGCAATTTATTTCAAACAAATATATTCATTTAATTTAAATTAATAAAGCATAAAAGTGATAAATGAATGGCATTACTGAGGCTGTGGCGAAGAGAGAGAGAGAGAGAGAGAGAGAGAGAGGGTAGTAATATAAATATTAATAATATTAGCCTACAATTAAGCTACATTTGTCAACATTCATTAAGGAACCTGGCCTAACAATATAGCATTGATTAATCTTCTAGATCAATCAGTAATAAAATGACCTAAAAATGTAATATCCTAATATATGTTTAGCATCATAACATTACTTTTTGCAATGCATTATATGCATAATATGAGCCCAAACACAAACAGTAACCAAACCAAGATGAATAAATGCAATAAATGTTGATAATTCTCTGTTGATGCATGACAGCTAATGGTTTACGTCATTTCATTATTCTATTATGTTAATCTATTACATTAACCTATTTTAATTGTGTAATATCAGTGGTTTTCCCAAATCAAAATTTTACCTACACATAATTTTATTTTTTAAATTTTTTTTTTTTTGGGATACTTTTCTTTGCACATATGGTAGTTGAGAGTTTCAAGCAGTGTTTAATAAAATTGTTTCAATTCACTTAAATTTAGACTCTTTTTTTTCCGACTGTGGTATCGATTTAGTATCGATACCGAGGTATTAGGTTCTGGTATCGTACCGAAGCCAAAATTGTGGTATCGAGCCATCCCTAGTCGGTACTAAAAAAAAAAAATGTTACGGTACCAGCTTTTCTAGGTACCGAGTACCAGGTTAATCCAGTTCTGTTCTAGACGCGTTGTCTGAAACGTGCACAGTTGCGTCCTCTTTATAACGCTGATATGCTCTCTCTCTCTGAATCCACTTGTTGAAACGAAAGGAGGAAAGAGCCACATATGGAAATATTTTGGATTAGGCTAATACCACGTTGCCATAAGAGGCCGATTACATGCAAATTCGCAATTCCAAATATAGGCGCGATTCAAGCGCGCTCATACGCCGCGTGAGAGCAAGCGCTTTGGAAAGAATAAGCACGCGCAAAAATATAATTAAAAAACACGCGCGACATGTGAACGGCCTCTAAAGTGCTTTCGGTGTAGTTTTACGAGTACATGAGCACAGTAGTATCCACCCGACTCCAGAGTAGGCTACTGGTATTAGTATTGTCATTTAATGTCAGTGCCAGTTCTAGGTGTATTCTTGCCTTTATAACTCAGCAGGTTTAAAAAGCCTTTTTAAAATTAAATATGAATGCCGTTTTAGATTAAATAAAAGGACAGTCAAGTCAAATAAAACATGTTTTATGGTAATGCTATACAAAGATACCATTCATCAACATTACTTAGTTATCAACACATTGAGTGAACAATATATTTTTACAACATTAATTAATGTTTGAAAATGTTATTTATTACAAACACCTGATTGTTCATGTTTGTTCACTTAATTCATTGTGCATTAAATAAATAATGGATTAAAACTTTACAAACAACTTTAAAAATGTGTTAGTGTATACTATTGTTTATTTTATGTCATTTTATCTAATCTTTTTCTAAAGTGTTTATAATACAAATGTACAGTTTCCATACTTGTAACCGTGATAAACACTTAAATATATGTACATTTAAACTAAGCTTTGGTACCGAAATTGGTACCGAGAACCGTGAATTTTAACTGGTATTGGTACCGAATACTGAAATTTTGGTACCGTGACAACACTAGTGTCCTGCACACAGTAGCAAAAAAATAAATATGAAAGATGCTGCAAGATATTGGAATAAACTTTCATTGCAATATTTTGTTTTTCTGCTATATATATATATATATATATATATATATATATATATAGCGACTATAAAAGAATTTCAACAGATGATTTGAATAGTTCTATTACAAAAGAATTAATCATTCTAGAATAATTGGGGTGATTTTGGAGTGAATCTGCATAGAAAACAAATGCATTACAAGCATAGATAAATACAATAGAAGATACAACTGAAGTTAGCAGTGATATGTTTTTCAGGTACATCTGTCAGTATTCACGTACAGAAATTGAAAAATCAAATGTAAAATAACAGTCTTCAATGTATAAATAAAATATAACTTATATAAGAAAAGGACTTTTGTAGCTTTAACAAAGATAAATTGTTAATATAATAATATATAAGGCTGCTGTTCCTTTAAGATGAAAGCATGGACCAATATGATTGACACGCATCCGCTTTCTTTATAGATAACCGAGTGTGTTTACGAGGATACTCAACGAACCAGGCAGTTTGACTTCATTTTGCGTGTATGTGTCCATTTAAGCTCAAAAGAGAAATAGAACAACTCTGTGTTCACTTGCTGTTAGCGCGCGTACGCGTGATAGAAAACAGTGCATGAGCTCCAGTCCAGTCCCGTGTGGATCAGGGAACTGCTATGATCCCTATAGCAAACCAGACATTGCACATCGTTCTGCGATGTGACTAGCGCAGATGCGCTTATCGCGATATTGATGCTAAAACGATATATCGTGCAGCCCTATAAATTATGTATGGCCTCTGAATAACTTTTGGTTTGCCTGTCTGTGTATATATAATATTAAGTAACTATGTGTACTTCCTATAGGGTTAGGCTTGGTTGAGGGTTAGTTGCGTGTAATTATGCATAATTAACTGTTATTTCCATGGTAAGGACATGTAACATATGCAACAAGGACACTGTACAATAATGTGTTACCACACTTTGTTGCATTATAATGATTTATGGCTTGTTAATATAAACACACGATTAGTGGATTAATGGCTTAAGTGAAAACTTTAGTCGAGGGCAGCCCTACCTCTCACACGCTCTACAATTCCAAAAGCAAAATCCACTCCAGTGGTGCGATACGGGGTAAGTGGAGTACTGTAACCGTGTTATTAATGCTAGCTGTGTTTGTGTTTATAGGTGAGGCTGCTCTGAGAGGTGAGTCCAGAATGCAGTCGATGTCCCTGTCCAATGCAGTCAGTAATCACCGGACCGGTCCTCCTCCCATCAGCCCCAGCAAGAGGAAACACAGCGCGGACCAACCAGACCAGGACATCGACTGCAACAGCGAACATGTGGCCAAGATGAGCCGGCTGTTCGCCGCACAGTTGTAAGTGGATCTGATAATTTCACGGGTCTGTTGGGATGCTGTGTGTGTGTTCCACCAACACGGAAATCTGGTTGGTCGTATCTAAAAACCTGCTTAAATGGATAATTCACCCATAAATGAAAATTAGTCCATTTATTTTCTCACCCTGAAGTCATCCTAGGTGTATATGCGGCACACAGCTGATATTTACGCTTGGATAGATGCACTTTTGATGAACAGATGCACTTTTTTGATGTATTGATGCTCTTATGATGGATTGATGCACTTTTATGATGGACAGATGCATTTTTATGATGGATAGATTCACTTTTATGATGGATTGATACACTTATGATGGATTGATACACTTTTATGATGATAGATGCACTTGTATGATGGATTGATACACTTTTATGATGATAGATGCGCTTTTATGATGGATAGATGTGCCTTTATGATGATAGATGCACTTTTATGATGGATTGATACACTCTTATGATGATAGATGCACTTTTATGATGGATTGATGCCCTTTTATGGACTTCAAAAAAGAAACAGCCATTCACTGCCATTATAGAGCTTGGAAGAGGCAGGACATTTTTTTAACATAACTGTGATTGTATTAGTCTAAAAGAAGAAAGTCATGGACACCTAGGATGACTTCAGCGAGAGTAAATCATGGGCTAACTTTATTTTTTGTGTGAACTATCCCTTTAAGTCAGGGCAGTGTTCCTAAAGAAAGAGCTTCGGGAATGCTTGGGAATGTGCTGAAGGTCTGGGATTCCTGGCATTCCCAAGCTCGCAGTGCAGCACGAGCACATGGGCTGTTTGTAGTGCCGGCCGAGCCCTCGTGGCAGAGCTCAACATTCCCCACATTCCAGACACGTTTGGAAGAGCGGCATTCTGGGACATGAGAGCTGCTGTTCAGCAGAGAAAAGCCCCACTGGTGCTGGGCAGAGCAGCGCATTGGTTTATGGCCATTGATTTGTTCTATAAATTAGGATCCGAATGCAAGAGCCAGTGAGAAGAGAAGCTCAGAGATTAATGTGCTAATTAGTAAGGCAATATATTATTAGGCTCAACTATAACAGGTTTGAATGTTGATTATTCCCTCATATTCTCCATTATTGCGGCTCCTCTCTTCCCAGTCTGTCAGTAACGCTCTGTTTACTTCCTGTCTCTATAAAGTTCCTCCTTCTGAAAAGCACACTGCGCTCTGATTGATCGGCTGGAGCAGTGTGTTGTGGTTGGTCGAGCGCTTCGAGTGTGTTTGGGAAATGTCCCGCCCCTTTCCATAACCTCCAGTTTAACACACTACTAACTAACTCAACCAGGCCCTGTCCCTTTATTCTGTGTATTAATTATTTTAATGAGGAATATTATGACGTGTTCGTTTTCCGGAAGAAACTCAAGACTACTATGGAGGCATTTCACTGACACTGATATAGAGAAGAACTCCCTTTTTCGTGCTCAAACAGCAACATTACACACTAAACACAGATGAACATGGAAACAAGCACAATAGTTCCTATTATCTTTAAACAATGTCACTTTGACATTGTGTATGTTTAGTTTGGTTGTTTAAGTTGTTTTAAATTTCGACTAAATGGATTTACTCTTGCAACACTCTCACTCTCAGACACACAAACACTGTTTGATTCTCGTCCTCCTCTTTGGCAACCCGTCACAGTTTATGTCCTGCTAGTGCTGAGATTTTCACTTTCTTAACAATGCCTTTCCTTTTTATTACCTTTAACACTTGGTTTCCCGCATGTCTCCTGAAGTAACTGACGACAAGATCCTGTTCATGGCCTTCACACTGCATTGGCTAGTCGACACAGAATGTGCTCTTGTTTAGTGTGTTTAGATGAAAATGCCAAAGTTTTTTGTTTTGTTGAAGTGCAAGTGGTTTGGATTATGTGAGTGTATTGTTGTTTCAAACATTTATCTAACAATTACTAATAGGGTTGGGAACCGAGAACCGGTTCTTTTCCAGAACCGGTTGTGTTTTTGAAAAAATACCGGAACCGTGCAAAATTCCTAAGTTTCGGTTCCGAAAACGGTTCTGATGCCGATGCGATATCATCATGTGGGCGAAGTGCTGGGAGTAGAAGACGCCGTCTTATTCCTAAATGACAAAAACTTCACCACTGAAGTTGCGATTTGCTCTCACACGCGCTGCATTTGTCACACACAGACACACGCACGCTGCGCGCGCCGACCGCCGAGTCACTCTCTAGCCTACATTCAAATCTGTTTGCGCTGAGAGAGAGAGAGAGAGAGCAGTTGTCGATATGAAACTGCTTTACAATCACACAGTCTCAATATTTATTTGTTTCACATATTCAAATGATTTCCGTTACAGAATTAGTGAGATTATAGTTTGAGTAAACATTGACGGTAGTGGTCAAAACAGATGCAGTCCGTATATTTTTTGTGTTTTTGTGTATACAATGAGCGAGTGCATCATAATGTTTTTTTTTTCAAACCGAGTTTTTGTCTCATCTTGAATCACTACGTAAAGCCTGTAATAAGCGTTAATACTCGGACTTCTTTAGACTGGCCGGCGGATCGCAGCTGCTGCGGAGTAGCCCAATGCCTGCGTGACTCGTCATGGACATAAACAGAGAGAAGTAGCTCCGGCAACAATGTTCTTCTGCAAGACGCAGTTCTGTTTATTAACTGCTAGAGCGCTGATTTATCCAGTAATGAAATAAGTAAAGTCTTTATGAATCAATCATTCAAACCGTTTAAAAAAATAATCTGTTCTACACACATATGTGTGTTAAAGCATATACTATTTCTTCTGAGAGGGTATTCTTCACTGTTGGAGATACAATAAAGGAGAGGTCTAAATTATTATAGAGAATGCAGAATTTTTTAATTTCCTTTATATATAATTTTTTTTTTTTTTGCAAAGATTGCTTAATAATATTTTGAGTTTGTTTACATTACCAGTCTGTTAACCTGTTAACTGTCACCCCCCCTTTTTTGAATAGACATGAAAATGCACATTTTGAACTTAAATGGTTGTAATTCAAGAATGCTTGGGAATATAGACATATGATTGGTCTTGTTTTAAAGAAGACATTTGGCAGATTTTTGTAGAAGTGAAATAAATTAAGAAAGTGAAACAGAAAAAAAGTTATAGAGGTTTGAGTTTATGGAAATGTACAATGCAAAAATATTAATTATTCATATTTTACATAAAATATATATTTTCAAAACCTGGGCTACTCTAAAATGGCAGAAAAATCAAAGCCAAAAATCTGAACAAGTTGTGTTTCAAATTTTAGGTTGATATCTCAAAAAATGAGCTTTCAGTAAGATTTTGTTTGAGCGCAGTACCAAACTTTTTCACTAGGGCACAATCAGACTCCATTACTGCCCATATAAGGGCGCCTGCATTTCCATTCGTGTTTTGAGTGATATGAACCATTATTTTCACAATTTTCATACAATTTCTGAAGTAGAGATCCTATTCAGGAGTAGTATGGGAAGTTTGGCAGATTTTGATATGAATTGAACCTCTAAGAAACACATACAAAGAACACGCATGTAAGTCATAGCTAGCTGCCACGTCACAAATGGTGAGTTTATTATTTTTTCCTTGATATTTCAAACTTTTCAGACCTTTTTTTTCCAAAATAATTGAATGGATTCTATCTTTTGAACTTTTGGCATGAAAACAAACTGAGGTATCTACCATTTTTTCATGATTTTTCATGTTTACTGCTATTTTAAAATAGAGGTCTGAACACGCCTTATGAGTATGAAAATATTCTTGTTTTATATTGATAAATTATGGCTCCTCTGTAATATATTTTGAAAATCAGTCACCAAATATGGAAACTAGAGATTGTAAGCTTTCAAATGATATATAGTTTGTCAATATTATTTAAGGTATTTACTAAGATATTATTGTTTTAAAAATATAGTGGCAAACGTCCCACCTGTGGGACGGTGACAGTTAAGTGGTTGACTAATTTGTCATGTACTATAAGAAATAAACACAAAAAGGATTGTGGATTTTTCTCTTACTAATATTTTTAATTGAATGGGAACCGGAACCGGAATCGTTTGGCGGAACCGGAATCGGAACCGGAACCGGAAAATTTCTCACGATTCCCAACCCTAATTACTAATTAACTTTTTGATAATTAATCATTAGCAAACCTCTGCAGAAACAACAATTTACAATATAATTCTAATTAGAAAATAAATAAGTTAAAGCGTATTCAATGTAATTTGACTTCGAAAATTCGAGTTGTGTGTAAAAGGTTCAAGCTGAAGTGTTTGTGAAACAAGAGCCTGAATGAAACTTTTATTGCACTGTTCTTTGTTTTTCCAAGAGTAGAAATATGTTTATATTATTTGAACTGAGGACTGAATTGTTAATTTCCCTCCGTATTCCTCCACACTGATGTGATTTAGATCAGAATGGTTGTGAATGAGCCATTCTTCTCGTTGTGAGTTTGCGGGAGAAACCGGACACCACAGACTGAAGCAGCTCAGGTTTCCATGATCCCGTTTTCCTATAGAAGGGAATGAAGGAGTGGGGGCTGGGAAAGAAAATCACTCTTCCTGTGTTTCTACTCACCATAAGCGTTTGTCCAGAGTCGTAAAGTTATTTTAAGCATTTCTGTTGTTATAATCATGCATCGTTGTCTACGAGTGTTTAGAGTTGTTTCATGTAATGCTTGTTTTTGATCTGTAAGCTTTGTAAGGAGTTTGTCTACGCACTTGTTTACTGTCTGGTCTTCTCTGTTCGTGCCAGACTAAACAGTTTAAAACAAAGAGATACGACTCTTCATACGCAGCTCCCTCAACGCTGCCAGTGAAAACCCGTAGGCTAATAAAACGGGAGACTCCGGGAGACATATTGTCGTCGAGTGGGCCTGTGTCAGGGGGTGGGGGACATTTTCTCATTTTCACTGCTTCCATGAAAACAAAGGGCCTGTTATCCGGTCGGCCCACTGCGTTCTGGACGCTTGTCCCACTGGAGACGCCCCAGTGCTGAA